GGGAGGCTGAGGTGAGAGGATCATCTGAGTCTAAGAGTTTGAAGTTGTTGTGAGCTAAGACACCATGGCACTCTACCCAGGATCACAGAGTGAGACTGTCTCAGAAAACAAAAGAAAAAGAAAAAAAAAATACTTGATCCAAAAGAATAAAAAAAAAGAGGAAAAGTAAGATAAACCAATGACACTAAGAAAACAGTAAGTTGGATGGTCTAAACCAGGGTGTCCAACCTGTCGCCCGCATGTTGAGTTTCTGAGGATGTTTTTGCTTACCTGTGGTGTCAGATATCATGAAAACTATACACAGACCTTTTGTTTATTTATTTTTTGCTAATCAGCTTTCATTAGTATTTGTGTAATTAATAATATGTGAACCAAGACAACTCTTACTTTTCTGATATGCAGGAAAGAAAAAAGGTTAGACACCCCTGGAAACCTAACCGTCTCAATAACTTCATGCCCCAACAGACAGAAAATTCAGATTCAATAAAAAAAACAAGACCTAACTACACAGTGCCTTCAAGAAATCCATTTTAAATATAAGGAGGAAAATTTAAAAGTAAAAAAGAGTAAACCGTATGGATACCTTGGAAAGTAGATTAGTAGTTTCTTACAAAAGTAAATATACACTTTCCATATGACCCAGCAATGCTACCCTTAAGCATTTAACAAAAACAAATATTTATACAAAAATCTCTATATTACTATTTGCAATCTGTAGCATTTTTATCCTTAATAGCTAAAAACTCAGAGCAATCTAAATACCCTTCAAATGGTGAATGGATAAAACAAACCATAATACATCCACGCAATGTAATGTAATGCTACTTGGCAATAAAAATCAGTAAAAAGAAACAAACTATTGACACATGTAACAACACAAATGAATCTCAAATGCATCATGCTAAGTGAAAGAAGTCAGACTGAGATGGTTACATATTATATAATTTCATTTATATGACATTCTGGAAAAGGCAAAATTATTGGGATATAAATGGGAGTTGCCAGGAACTGAAGCTGGGGAGAAGAATTGACAAAAAAGGGCATGGGTAAACTTTGGGGGGCGTGGAGCTAGTTTATAACTTGATTGTGGGGGTGGCTGTTACACGATGATTTTCTTTCATCAAAATGTGACGATCTACACATCTACCTACCTATGTAGCCGTCCATCCCTTCCTCCTTCCCCATCATTTGAGTACACTTTCCTACCTCCAAAAATGTGACAATGGCTGTTTAAAAAACAAAATAATTTGCAGAACTATACACTAAAGAAGGGTGAATTTTAATGAATATAGATTATAACATATATATATATATATATATATATAAAAGAAAAAATTATTAAGTACCTGCTAGGTATCATGGCTAGATACCAGTGATATGAACTTGAAAATATAATCCCTGACCTTAAGGATTTTCAGAGATAAATAATAATGGTAATGACCATCATCATTAATAATAGTATTCAGCACTCAAATAGGGTTTACTACATGGCACGCACTGTTCTAAGTTCATCACATACATTAACTCATATGACCCTGTAACAACCCCATGAGGACAGACAGTATTTTTTTCTCATTTTATAGATGAGGAAATTAAACTTTAGCTTTTATCTCAATCTCTTTAAAGAGACTGAGAAACTGGCCCTCATAGCGATAAGTATAGAGCTCAGATTCAAAGCCAGGCAGTCTGGCTCTTATCTCAGTACTTTGAAATTTTTGCCTCCATTTATTAAGAAAAACAAGTCATCCAGAATTACATGGCAATGTGTGGTAAAGTTAAATTTTATAATCATCTTACAATTCTTTCTTCTATAAGATCACCTTGCTAGTCAGAATGAGGTAGTGTGAAAGAGAAAAAATATATAGTAATAGGTGATTTAAAAAAAAAAAGTACAGTTGCAATCATTTTTAGGATTTCTGCTGAAGTTTCCTGTTTGTTTTTTTAGTCTAAGGAAGAGCACAGGCTATCAAATTGCAGTCCCTTCTTGGATTTCCCCACAGGATCTGAGTGACCTGACAGGAAGGCAACACTGCTCCCCAGGGAAAGGGAAGGAGGGAGGGAGAGAGAACAGACACCTATTGAGATTTAAAGGCAGGGACAAGTGCAGTTCCCCCCTTCCTTCAAGATGGCAAGCAGCATGTTCTTTGTTTAAATGACCACTTTATCTATAATACAACACAAACAATAATAATCACCAAAAAATTAAAAAAAAAAAAAGCAACCTAGATAAAATTCTACTAGCAAAACTGAAGGGAATAGAAGCAAGGGAAGGGGCAGAGAGCAAGTTAAGCCAGCGGGTGCTGTTCACCTAAGTCTGTTGATCCAGGTGGTGGTCTGCAAGTGTGCAGTTTAAGACAGCTCACAGAGTTGTATTTATGCACTTCTCTGTACATATGTTATACATGGATAATACAATAAAAGTTTTTAAAACAGTAATTGTGGAAGGGTAAATTATGCAAAAACATAACATCTAATTGGCTAATGGATTCATTTATTATGTATGAATAGATAATAAATTCTAATATCTAGAGGTATTTAAAGATCAATCTTGGATTTCACATCATTGTTCTGGAATTAGAATATCAAGCATGACTTAGTTTAGTTTTGTTTTTTTTTGAGACAGAATCTCACTATGTCGCCCTCGGTAGAGTGCTGTGACATCACAGCTCACAGCAACCGCAAACTCTTGGGTTTAAGTGATTCTCTTGACTCAGCCTCCCAAGTAGCTGGGACTACAGGTGCCTGTCACAACGTCTGGCTATTTTTTGGTTGCAGTTGTCATTGTGTTTTAGCTGGCTTGGCTGGGTCCGAACCAGCCAGCCTCAGTGTATGTGGCCAGCACCCTACATACTGAGCTTCAGGCACCACTTAAACATGAATTAGTTTTCATGAGCATCACAAAGCATGTTGAGACACAAGGTCAGGCTGGGTGTGGTGGCTCAAGCCAGTAATCTTAGCTCTCTGGGAGGCCGAGGCAGGTGGACTGCTTGAGCTCAGGAGTTCAAGATCAGCCTGAGCCAGAGCAAGAACACATCTCTAAAAATAGCCAGGCATTGTGACAGACCCTATAGTCCCAGCTACTTGGTAGGCTGAGGCAAGACGATCACTTGAGCCCTCTTGTGAGGTTGCTATGAGCTATGATGCCAGGGCACTCTATCTAGGGTGACAAAGTGAGACTCTGTCAAAAAATAAATAGAAAAAAAAAGAACGAAATTAAATAAGGCAAGACACAAAGTCCTTTGACCTAAATAGTAATCATCTTCAGAAAGGAACTTTGGGTGCTTTGAAGAATACACTGCCCTCCTCCCCAATATAAAGGCACACAATGCAAAGCCTATAGAAATAAGGCAGTAACCGGAGCCCATGCAGAGATGAGCAGGCCTCCTCTGCTGGTTCTGCCTTTACTGAGCAAATAGAACAGAGGTGTTGACGTAGGGGGCTGCCCCTTCTCTAGCTAGCACAAGGCCAAATCACACCTCAGGGAAAGAGGAAAGGATCAATGTACCAGATCCAGAATTTAAGCAGATGCTGCTTTTTGTCCTGAAGAAAAGCAGTCAGCATGGCAGCAACAACTCCACCTTAATTTTTGCAGGAAAGTTTTAGCCAGTAAGTGGTTCTCAGTCCTAGATACACATTAGTGACATCTGGGGAGATTTAAAAATGTTCTGATTCAATAGGTCTAGGCTCAGGGATTTAAAAAAAATTTCCTTATCCGACTGGTTCTTATGTGCACCCAGGGTTGAATACTAATCTTAGTTATTATTAGATCTGCTTCCACTTTCTGTTCTTCCCCTACTCTCAACACTCTGTGTTCTTGTACCTTAGCTAATTAAATAATACCTATTCTAATTTATAGTATTCTTTACCTTTCTAGTACATGCAAGCAAACCTGAAAAGCGTGTTATATTTCTCAGGAAAATCAATGTTTGTATCTAAGAGAGGGATGGATGGTGAAAATAGGAAAGAAAAAGAAATTAAGATGGACCAGTCCTGGCGGCAAGACCAGCAGATGACATTACAGGGAATGGACATCAAGTTCCTACCAAGCTAATTTAGATTGTAAAACTAGCCCCACAGTCAATAACATGAGTGATCTTGAATACAGACAATCAGAGCCTCTTCTCCTTAATACTATCCCCGTTTCGCTTAGTAAACAGACTGCAGAGAAAGAGAAAGGGGCTTTTCAAAGGAGCAGGGATGCATTTCAATACTTAGGCCTTCTCCAAACACTGGAGTCTTGTATAGATATAACGTGTCAATTACACTGTATCCTAGCAACGTCTCTCACAAAGGGAGTTTATATGATACCAAACAGGGGCTTAGCTTAACGTTCAAACATAAGTCATAAGGGATCCTCATTTTGGGGAAATGTACTCAAAGAAATTTTACATGAGAAAAATGTACGCTATAGCCCTGGGTTTCTATCCTCACCAAAGAACTGAGGCAGGCAGGAAGCAGTTCTCACTCCAAAGTTATATCCGACTTACTTGTTTTTCACCCCCGAAGCTTCAGTGTAACCATGGCTCCAAACAGCCGGTGCTCCAGATGTGTCTCCTGCTGAAGGCTGGTCAATCTTGAAACAGCGGATATTACTAACAAGAGAAACAGAGAGAGAACAGGAATCATTAAAACCAAACATGTGCAAATTGCTACCTTTATTAGAGAAAAGAAAAACACCTGCTAAGCATGCTGTACTTATCATTTCCTACTACCTTTAATGTGTCTGAAGTACTTATCACAACAAGAAACAGCTATCACCATAATGAAAACCCAGGGGCATATACTGAGCATGAATTAGTTTTTTTGAGCATTACAAAACAAGTATTAGAGGCTTTCACACACTCAATGGCTGCTCTCTCCTGGGAATGAAAAGAACAGCTCTCAGTCTTGGCATGAAACAGCAAAATTTAAGTAATACGTTGGGGTATATTCTCTCAAAACTCAGACTTGGAAAGAACAAAGCCTTGGCCACAATTATATTGTGTTCAGGTGATGTGAGAGAACATTCATCTCCAAATCTAATTTCTGTCCACATAACCCCTTCAAATATTTCATGAACATCATCAAGGACTTCCTATTCCCTGGAGCTTCCAATTGTCTCCTCACATGGACAGCCACTTGGCTGAGACTAATTTCATAAAATGTACATGTAAAATTACAAAGCTAATGAGGTTTAATAAATTACAAGTTAACTACATGTATTTAAAATCTGAGAGACTTAAGTTCTTACGTCACCTCAGCCCTCATATGCCATAAGTGGTCCAATGGGACCCCAAATATAAATATTAGAAGGATAAACTCTCAATTGGGGTTTCTTAAAAATCAGCCTACTAGAAAACATTTAGTGCCCCCCAAACAGACATGTAGTCTGTTAAAAAGCCTACATGGTGAAATAAATTCTGATTACTCATAAATTGCCAACAGGATCCCTCCCATTATTTACACAAGAGAAAAAAACACACACACATATATGTGTCAGGTTGACAAGAGATTATATATACATATAAATATATAAATAAAATCATCTTTTGATAACTTGACACCTAAATCATGACCACAAGAACCTAACAAATACTATATATCCTTCCTAAAAGCCAGTTATAACTCAAAAGAAGTAAATCAATATCTAACTAGTACTCAATTTGATTCTAAAAATAACTTGTGAGAATTTCTCTGAAATTTAAAAATATATGGTTAAAGAAATGCTTCTATTTTGAATTACTAGCAAACATTCACTTTCCCTCATAATCTAAAAAGCTGAAAAGACATATAAATCATAGTGTCAACAGAAAATCCCCAACTCAAGTTAATACCTCATTTTACAGTAAAGCTACAGCTATAAATCCTCCTTCAACATTTTCGATCCTATCAATAAAAGACAGGCATTAACAAAAACCAGTCCTCCATCATTTGCTCTCCATATGGTCTGGTGTTCAATATTATTCATCTAAAATGGTAAACAATGCAATGAGCTTCTTAAGTTACCTTTCTGAATTCTAGGGAAAAGTGAAGGCTAATTTCTAAAGAGGTTTGTAATATTTACAGAACACAGACTATTCAAAGAAATAATTATTTTCTAGCCTGATAATTAAAGAAAAAATTCCCTACTCTCCCTCTTGCCTCAATAATCCTTTCTAGTAAAGCAGCAATTTCTCTTCTCTGCCCAGCTGAACACACAGTGGCTCAGCAGCTCTCTGAAGTGCTCTGAATGTTCACTCTCGCTCACCTTTAACTGAGTCTACACCGGCACTCAATTCCACATGATAACCCTCCAGAAGCAAATAATAGACAGAAATTCTTGAGTTATTAAGAACCCACAAGCTTCTAGATGCTGAACAGAAGGTTGACATTTTTATATGAGTGTTGTGATTTCATTGTCTGATGCTAATTACTTACAAATCTGAGAGGATGGTGCACATAAGCTCAGTTCAGACTGCTGCTGATACACTACGAAACATCCTGAAAATTCAGGTAAGTTTAAAGAAGACAATAAAGAGCACCCATAATCCTTTTATCCAGAGAATAACACTACTGTAACATTTTGTTACACACCCTTTCAGGCATTGTCTAGGTATGTGTGCACATACTCACATACATATACCCAAATGCACATTAATTTGATTTGCAAAAAAATGAAATTCTACTATAAAAATTACTTTTCATGTCTTGCACGATAGAGCTCTTCCAAGGTCCTATACCACCATTTTTGGTGGATGCGTAACATTCAATTACGGAGCATAATTTGTTTAATTCTACTGAGAGACATTTAGAGTTCTGTGATGTACACTCTTACAAATATATCTTTTCTACTGAGATAAGCTTTAATGTTTTAAGTAGCAAATTTCAACCTGTAATTCTTTATCAATACCAAGAAAATGGTTATCAATGAACTACTCCCCAAAACACAAAGAGAACATTAACAGTATCTAACTACTCCACGTTCCTAGTTTTGTTTAAATAATCTGGATTTCAGCACCAAATTGTGAATTTTCTTTACGTATTTCTCTCTTTCAAAATCTGTTCTTAACGTTTGTGTTAAGTGTCACAACCACGTCATCAGTAACTACTGAGAATTAAGTGTGCATCCTGGCTGTTCATTGTCTATCTCCTGTTATGTGTGCAGATGTGGACCACAATTGAATGATGCTTCCTATCTTCTGTTTTGTGCTTTTACTAAGTCTTAAGTCTCATTGCCAGTGAAAGATAATGGGGCTACAGGGCTTTCCCAAATACTCACTTCAGGAGCTCCAGGGTTTTGTGATCAAGGACAAGGCGAGGGTTTCCAGTCAGGTCTAGTTCTTGCAGTTTAGGAGGCAGGTTTTCTGGTAAGGTGACTTCACTTAGCTCATTACAGCTCAGGTCCACACACTGTAGGAACAAGAGCAAATAGGAAAGAGATACGGCCTGAAGAAGTTCTTTAGGAAGCTCTCTACTCCTGCCCTTTGCAGGCAAATCAATTATATTAAATCCCTTTAATAGGGGACTTAAGTCCCTAAAAGTCAAACACAAAAAGCTTGTCTTTTACTTTGCTATAAACATTTAAAACAAATTTTGCTAAATGCAGTAGAATTTTTTACTTTCTTGAGTAATAGAGAGAATCTATGCTCTTTATTCTCCCTACCTTTCCCATTAAGTTCACCTCTATAATGACAAATATTAAGCATGTTAACTGAAAGATCCTGAGAATGGGAAGGTTTTTTTTTTCCCTTGAGACAGAGTCTCAACTTTGTCATCCTCTGTAAAGTGCCAGGGCATCACAGTTCACAGCAACCTCAAACTCTTGGGCATGATTTTCTTGTCTTAGCCTCCTGACTGACTAGCTGGGATTACAGGAGCCTGCCACAATGCCCGGCTATTTTATTTTTTAGAGACAGGGTTTCGTTCTTGCCCTGGTTGGTCTCAAACTCATGAGCTCAAGCAATCCACCCACCTCGGCCTCCCATAGTGCTAGGATTATACATGTGAGCAACCGTGCCTGGCTGGAAGTTTCTCTCATTGCTCACCAAATCTCTGTGCCTGCTGTGGCCATGAGAGCTACACCTCAAACACTGTAATGAACTGCAAGGGGCTTTCTTAAGACAAAACAAAAAACAACAGAAAAACATGCAAAGTAAGAAAAAAGCAGGAAACACATATCCCAACTGAGAAGATGCTTCAAAAGAAGCTAAATAAGGAGAAAATGACATGAAGGCTGTGTTGACCAGTTTGATGGAAGTATTTCAGATTGCATGTGAAAACCCCACACTGTACCCCAGAAGTGCATTAATGTACATAGTTACCATGCAATAAAAAAAAAAAAAAAAAAGAAGCTAAATAAGAAGTTGGTGGTAAAGGGTAGACTACCAGGTGGGCCTGCGACTGGGGGCAAGGAGCAGAAGGCTGAGTCAGGTATGGATCCTGCCCTCAGGTAAGAACACCTGGACTCTGCCCACAGGTCCTGCCTAATTTAGCCTGAAAAACCACCACAGAAGGGTCAGCATGCTGATTAGAACAAAAACTGTAAGTAGTAAATGGGACTATCTCCCCTCTCACAAAACCAATTATATCTCAAATGAGGCAAACTCTAAAAAGAGGAGCTGCGGAACTGGGTGGAGAAGGCTCATCACGTACAAGAGAAAGCAACTTGCCAGGGCTGTGGACTTCATGATTAGATAGAACAGGGTGGAAGCATTCAGGTATCTGGCTTGAGTTAGCTAGCACCTTATTAGAATATTAAAAAATGCTTAAAGCAGTGGTTCTTAACTTTCCTAATGCCGCAACCCTTTAATACAGTTCCTATGGGTCGCGACCTACAGGTTGAGACCTGCTGGCTTAAAGGCAAATTGTATTCAATAATTTCAAGATCTTGAAAGTGGACAAAATCTTCCTTTCATTTCGAAAAATTCTTAAAGAATTTGTTGGGGATTGAGGAGGGGTAGAGATTGGGTAAAATGAAAACCTGTACTTTTGGAGAAAGATATTTTCAACAGACTTCAAAAAAATAATGCTTCATACCATAATACCCCAAACGTTTCATATTGTTGCTTGTAAATAGTGGCAATGACATATAATTATATTGCTATTTTAAATGATTACATTTTATTTTAAGAGCATCATAACCACACTGCCCACAAAATGCTGGGCAAACGTAAAAGCTCAGAAAACTTACCCTTAAAATTACCACCCTGACACAATGAGTGTTAGTATTCTGAGGTTTTCTTTCCCCCCTTATAGCCTTATTGTTAATATTTTTAAAAAGTCTTTAAAAATCATAAATGTAGGTACAATTTCATTACATTTCACTTACTCTTCTATCACTCTATTGCAACCATTTTTCCTCATCTTCATTTCTACTGCTATGGTCTGAATGTTGGTATATTACCAAAATTTGTGTGTTGAAACTTAATCCCCAATATGATGATAATATTATGAAGGGGACTTGGGGGTGGTTAGTAGGTCTTAAGGACTTTGCATTTGTGAGTGGGATTGGTGACCACATAAAAGAGGCCCAGTGGAGTTTCCTCACTCCTCCTGTCAAGTGAGAACACATAAAGAGATCGTCTATGAGGAACAGGCTCTCAAAAGACCAAATAGGCTGGCACCTTGATCTTGGACTTCCCAGCCTCCAGAAGTATAAGCAATGTATTTCTGTAGTCGATACAGTAACAAGTCTAAAGTGCTTTGATACAGCAGCCTGAATGGCCTGACACCATCAAGCTTTAATAGCTCCATATACTTCACTTAACCTACACAATAATAATTGAGAAGCGGTCATCTCTTTTTTCATTTCTTTTTTTTTTTTTTTTTTTAGTAAAAGATGAAAGCTTTATATGATCTGAAGAGAAACCAGAGTATGATTTCTTTTTTTTAAATTTCAAGTTAATATGAGGGTACAAATGTTTGGGTTACACTGTTTTCAATTCTAAAGTAAACAAACTTCAAGTTGCAGTTGAGTCTTCACCCGGGCCTATGCTGAACACACTGCACATTTGGTTCCTTTTTGGTTTGTTTTTCAATTATAAACGATGGCTGCATGAACAGCTGACCAAACTTTAATGAAGAACTGTGATACTACTGTTAGTAACGGGTCATGCTGCCAGCATAGTCAGTACACGTCAGCATAGTAAGACCTGCTATGGAGGTAGAATGCCTTTCAGTACATGGGGATGAATACACACCCAATCTACTGGAGAGTAAAGGATCGTGAGCTATCGGTCTAACAAGTGTGGGGAACTTAGGGTATAAATCATTGACAGAAACAAATTCAGGGCTCAGAGAACGTCTTGGGTGAAGAATTAAAGAGATTCTACAGCAATACCGAATTTTACAAAAGTAATAGGAACTTTTAAAAATTTTATCTGAAGATTTAAACTTTCAGAGTTCTACAAATATAAAATAGCTCATTCTCTAAATTAGCAAATTATGAAATGAGTTTGTAGGGTAATTATGTATGAAGATAAAGCTGGAGGTTGTAATGTAGATCTTAGAGATGCTGCTTCCAGGACACCAGCCCAGGCCCATTTGCTCCCTGAGGCTTCTCCAACTGAATCCTTGATTCACAGCATTCACAGCAGCCATTCCCCTTCATAGAGTGCTACTACCCTGGTCTGCACCCTGGCCCATCTGCATCCCAGTCCCCCTCACTCCTGGGCTTGGCTATACTATAGTATCCTTGGGGTCTGGCATCATTATGCCCTACCCTCAACCGTCAGCGTGGTTTATCTACTGTGGCTTATTCTGTCCACTCTCACTCCAGCCTTAGTCTCTCTGCTGCTCCCAGGAGCTCTTCAACCTGCCATCAAACTCCTCAGGATGTCCAAGAAGGCCCTTCCTTCCTATTTCACCACTTGCTTCCTCACACTCCATGTCCAGCCCCGTCAGAGCAACCACAGCTCCTGTTTGGGGCCTGCTCTCGTTTGCTGCTCTCTGTGACAGGACTCTCTTCCTTTTACCTGGAAAAATCTGGCTTACTCCTTTTAAGACTGAACTCACTTCAAACTCTACTCCAACCCCTGTTGGAATGAGATGTCCCTTGTTATGATCACCTGCTTATTTACTCATCCCGTTAGCCTGTGACTTCAGCAAGCAGAGTGCTGCTCCCCATACATCCTACGTGCAGTGCAGCAGCAAGAGCAGATGCCGGTGAACAAGTGAACAACTGATCACCTGGCATGTTGGAGAAAATTATTTGTTAAATTAATAAATGAAGGAATCTAGGAAGGTCCTTCAGTAATTAAATCTGCTCGGATAGAAACTGAAACACAGTGCTTAGGTGGCTGTGCAAAGCATTGTAGTGCAATTCCAATACATTTTCAATGTCACTTGTTTTCTTCTGCATGAAAATGTAACTATTTTCTTAATGGCAGAGAGGCAGAGAAACACCCTTTTATGCTCTGCACACTGAAGGAAGTTCATAAAAATTAAAAGAGATCGAATAATAATTACAGGAGGTTGGTATCTGGTGTTCTTCTACTGAAGTTATTAACACAATGAGTGACACACAAGTGCTACTTCATATTTTTTTAATAGTCCTCAACACTGCTTTACTGCTGAGGTACTTAACAAACACTTGTTGGCTGAATAACAGTAAAGGCTACCACTAAGAAAACAAAAATATCTGAGACTGGAGAGAAAAATAGTACCAATACAGTCTTTTTGTTAATGAATGCAACCCCATGTTTAAGGTACTGCAATTTTCTTAAAACTATGCTGTTGGCTCGGCGCCTATAGCTCAACCGGCTAAGGTGCCAGCCACGTACACCTAAGGTGGCGGGTTCGAATCCCCAGCCTGGACCCGCCAAAACAACAATGACGGCTGCAACCAAAAAAATAGCCGGGCGCCTGTGGTCCCAGCTACTTGGGAGGCGGAGGCAGGGGACTCGCTTGAGCCCAGGAGTTGGAGGTTGCTATGAGCTGTAATGCCACGGCACTCTACCCAGGAGGACAGCTTGAGGCTCTGTCTCAAAAAAAAAAAAAAAAAAAAAACTATGCTGTTAAATAGATTGTTAACCCTGGCTAAAACACAGCTAACAGAAAATTACCGTTACCTCTTTCAGGCCCATTCTATAATGTAACTAACAAAAATTACTTCGTTATAATCATAATTCTGGTAAGAATACCCCAAATAATACCCAATCCTCAGAAAACATGAGGTAACTCATAGCTGAGAAAGAACTCATGATTCAGAGGAAAATTATTACAAATACAATTTAGATAAGACCATAGAGAAATAATTAGCTTATCTCCAAGAAAAGGAATACAATTAGATTAAGTGTAATTCATGCAGCATAGCATATGTTTTCTCATAAAACATTACCAAATAGGCATGTTAATTTTCATAGTAGTGTATCATTCATTATCTTCCTATACTGCCCTGAAAAGGCGACTAG